AGGAATACAGCGTGAGGGTGGAGGGCTAGGCTCCCCCCGAAGCCCCAGCCCCAATTGCATCTCTGCTCCATGATAGTTTTTGCCTTTCATGGAAATTGCTGGAGGGCCTGATCACAGACCTCCTCTGTCCTTATGTACCTTTGGCCTCTAGTTTATTGCAAATCCAGGACTGGCGCTCCACTGACTGTAAAATCTAGTTCTGCAAGTTCCTCATGCACACACAAAAATTAAATTTGTAAATAGTTCAGATATGGGGCAGTTAGATACTCCTGTTCTTTTGAAATAAATGATCAGAAGGGGTTGAGTTCTTTTTTAAAAATTCCTTTTTGTTCAGAGGAGGAGCAAGGAGGTATTATACAATACACCAGACTTCCGTAAAGGTTGACAAAGTTCCAGATTTATTGATACAGTCCTGGTGGTCTGTTCTTCTGGTGCCGGTGTGTTCCTCCAATTCAAGGTGCCTTTTTTTCCAATTCAAGAGTTCTGCTGCTGTCAGAAGAGGCTTAGACCACAGAAGAGAATAGAAACAAAAAAAAAAACAGGAAGAAAGGTGGTTTTTTTGTGCAGGGCTTTTAGCTAGTGATGGAGCTGCGGTGGCTCAAGTGGTTAAGACGCTGAACTGAAGGCTGTGGGAGGTCAGTAGTTAAGCAGTTCGAGACCCGGGTGCCGCATGATGGAGTGAGCTCCCATCTCTAGTTCCAGCTAGTAACCTAGCAGTTAGAAAGCAAGACATTGCAAGTAGATAAATAGGTACCACTTCGGTGGGAAGGAAACAGTGTTCCGTGCGCCTTGGTAGTCGTGCCAGCCACATGACCACGGAAACGTCTTCGGACAGCGCTGGCTCTTCGGCTTTGAAATGGAGATGAGCACCGCAACCCTAGAGTCAGATTCGACTGGCTTTCGAGCAAGGGAACCTTTATCTTTACCTTTAGCTAGTGAGGATTTAAGAAGGCTCTGATTTTCAAACATCCCCTCCTTGATGTACAGAAACCATTAAATCTGGGATTGAGAATCTTGTGATCTAATTTGCAATCCACGCTGGGGATTCTCAGGTATTGGGTACACTGATTTCCATATCCAGTGCCCATAAATGACATGAGGGTTGCAGAAAACAATTATAGTGCTCCTTTGTGATACATACAGCAAGGGGGGGGGGATATGTGAGGCCTAGGTAAGGTGATTAAGCTTCAAACATCTGATTGTGCAACAGTGCCTTCACAGAGTGCCCCCCACAACCTCGTATCTTTGCAGCACTCTTTTTGGCCCTTTTTACTGTGACGTTGTTCAGCCAACAGTGTGGGAAACTGCTTATTGAGATGCCGCCTAAGAGAAGACTGTGAACATATAAATAGTCTGGGGTTTGTCTGGCAGTGGTGAAGACTGGCCAGCACTGAAATATTTATTGCCGGTGTTTGAAAAGAAAAAGGGGATGTCTTTGTAAATTATTCAGTGAGTCTCAGATTCATATTTAAGATTCAGAAATGACATTGGCAGCGGAAGGAGAGAGAAGACTTATCCTTCGGTCCTCTCCATGGCAACCGAAGCTCTACGGAAGTCGATAATCGACCGAAGCTGGGAAGATGTATCACAAAACACCCAGCCTAATTTCGCAAGCATCCATCTGTCTTTACCGTGTTCCCTGCTACTGAACAACTTGATTTTTCCCCCCTGTCATAAGAGAGTCAAATCATTCATGGAGTGATTCACTGAGAGGTGCCTAGGCTATATTTTCAGTGATATAGCTTGACATAAGGTGTAAGTTGAGAACTACTTACTGGGGATTTTACTATGCTGTGTTTCATCAATTCAGTTATCTGGTTTTATTACTCCTTTGGAGATTGATCAATTATTCTAAGCATGGTGGAAAACATTTATACAGAAGGGCTCTATTGACTATATTCACGACATCAGGGTGTCGCGCCCCCCCCCCCCCCCTTGTGTGTTAAACCAAGACTGAAGACTTTCTGATTAAAAATAAACTGCAACCTGTTGCGACTTAAAAATCGGTGCACTTTAACACATTTGCCGTTTTGTCTCTTGCCTACAAAATGGGGGTCCAACCTGGGGTTGGACTGTGGTTTAGAATCTGTAGACAAGAAACGAACCACTCTTTGCTAATGTATTTCAGTTTGAAGACAAACTGTTTCTTCTTTGTGGTCCCTGGGCATGTTCTCACCAGGGGTGGCCCCTGGGCAGAGCAACACTCAGAACTTTTTAGGGGGTAAAGTTTGAACTAAGTTTTTGGTGGCTGGCGCCTGCCTCCTCCATTGTAAGGGAAATGGTGCAGCATGCAAGCTGGGGGGGGGGAGGGGGACAGAGGTGTGCCATCCTTCTTGGTTCTAGTATCATAGCCTAGGTGAGGACCACAAAGCCGAGTCCTGTTATGGCCGATGCTTCATTAAGCAAGCTCACCAAAACAGCTTCACTCACGTTTGAGCCACGCTGTGAGATTGTGCCTTTGAGTGCTTCAGACCTGATGGCCCAGCAGGTACTGGTTGCCCTGGTAACAAATAAATCTTGTCTGCTTTGTCTCAGCGCCGCTGGTATCTCTGTTTCTCTCTGGCCTCTTGGGTAGCGTAGCTCCCACTCCTGACGGGCTAAATCAGAAATTCTGACCTTCAAAATCCAAACATCACCATGGCCAGAGGTCGATTCGGGGGGGTCGTGGGTGATCGCAGTTCCCCTGGGTGAGGTGCAGGGAGGCGGGGCACAAGACGAAGCCCCACCCCCTTCTTCCGGCTGCCCCCTGCTTCCAGCCTCATTCTGTTGCAGGAGGAGGAAGAAGCAGGAGGGTAAGTTGGCGTCCTCCCCCTCTGCCTGGCCGAGGCCACTCTACGTGGCCTCCGCAAGGACTCCCAGCCCCATCCAGGAGCTTCCCCGAGGTAGCTGTGTTAGTTTGTGTCTGCAAAATAGTCCAAGAGTTCAAATAGCACCTTTAAGACTAACAAATAGCACCTTTAAGACTAACCTTTAAGACTAAGACTGAGTGGCGGGTGTGGCCTTATAACACACTTCCGGTGATGGCAGGGGGTG